AACGAGTGATCGGTTTCAGACTGAAATTCGTCTTGAGCGATGCGTACTCGAAGCCAGACAACTGCCGACAAGACCGCTGTTAAAGCGCGAGCTCACCAGGAAGCCTCGATTCCCCACTAAGCGGCGGAATCGACGAATATTCCTTCCTGGTTTAATCCGTATTCTTCCTTCTTTGTTTCGTGACGTAAATTTCCGAGAATTCGGACACGAATACTCGGAGCACGTGTACTGGCGTCTACCTATTCGGCTCGCCAGGCGGTGTTGATCATTTTTTATATTCGCGGTGACTCAGCCGGCTAGCGAAACGTTACGCCGTTTCTTATAGCCGGTGTCTTTTAATTATGCGAAATAACCGAAATACGAACAGCCGAGCTATGCTCTTAAACCGTTTTTAAATAACTTTAATTGATCTTCAAACACGTTCTTTCGACTGTGCCAGCGAGACGAGTTTGCGCGCGATCGGATACTCTATCACGCGTTATTACACGTGGCAACGAGTCAACCGTGAGTGGCAGCGGCGTACGCGCAACTGCCAGCCGGTACCCAATCATCCAGACGTGATCGTTACCGAGACACTCGGTCGCGTGAGTAACGTGAACAGGTCCGGGAACACGGAACTGTTTCACTTGCGCTTGCTGCTGCACAACGTGCCCGGGCCAACGTTGTTCGAAGCGTTGCGTACGGTTGCGAACATCGTACACGGGACGTATCGAGCGGCGTGTGCGGCTAGAGGTTTGCTACCGGACGTCAGCGCGTGGCGCCGCGCGATAGAACAGGCATCGACGATGAACGCTACCGCTGCTGAGCCACGCAGTCTGTTTGTCATTGCACTGTTACACGGTGAGCTTATCGAGCCGAACGACATGTGGCAAGAGACGGTTCTACCCAGATTGCATCGTCTGTCGACGGCGAACGTTAACGTGAACGTCAACGCCAACAACAACGACGATGATGACGGCGACGACGACGAAGCGAACAACGAGCAACTACGGTTGATCGACGACGAAGTGTATCGAGCAACCGACAGACACGTAGCCGACTACGGACTTGAACAGTGGCCGCTGTTACCCGTTCGGCGGTCGCAGTCGACACCAAGACTCATGGACGAGACCGACGCCGACACGTTGACAGTACGTCTGCTGATGATGAAGCAGAAGCCACGGGTGGGACCGTCAGAACAGACTGTCGTGATTCCCGATATTTTCTACTTGTCATTACACAGATGCGACAGTTCCTGCACAACACATCACCAAGGCTCACTACCTTTCCTAATGCTCTTGAAAATGTAATGCGTTCGACCTCCGTATTTATTATTTTTTTCTGCCCCTGCACTTTTCGAATGAAAGTGTTGCAGCTAATACACCTAACACGCACAAAAGACCTCTTCACTACTCTTCCACTTGACATGTTGATTAGAAAATATCCAACAACAAAAACTAGTAAAGTATCAGAAAGGAGACTGATCCGTACCGCATGGAATTTCGTCGAGGACTACCTACCCAAGCACATTTTTGAAATACGAAAATCGCAGTAGGTAGGGCAATCAGCCCCAATCAGCCCCAGCAATCGCCGAGAGGGGGTTTTTCCTTATGGATAGATCGAGGGTGGGAAGAAAGAACAACTATGTTCTCCGCTTTGTTCCCATTTATGACTTAATCCTTAACACCGAGAAGGAACTATAATCTCCTTAACAACAGATCGAGGGAGGGAAACAACTATGTTCTCCGATTTATTTCTGTTTATGACTTAATCCTTAAAATCGAGGAGAGACTATAATCTTCTCGGTATACTTAACAACCGATCGAGGGTGAA